TATCCAAATAATATTGTTCCCTTCAATAAGGAACATAAAGTCTCGTATTCATAAGTACTAAGGTAGATGCAGCTGTGCATCTGTGGCTTTAACTTCTTGGCAGGGTCTGCTTAAGCCCAGAGATTTGACACCAGATAGGGTAATGTAGTCAGACCTCATCTTAAAAGAACTCAATGAATGTGGGGCTGGAGAGATGGCTCAGCAGTTAAGAACACTGGTTGTTCTTGCAGAAGACCGGTTTGAATCCCAGCACCCACATGGCAGCTAACAACTGTCCGGAACTCCAGTCCCAGGGGATCGACAGCCTCTTCTGACCTCTGTAGGCATTGGATGACACAGGTGCAGTTACCTACATGCAGGCAATATATACATGTACATAAAATAAAAATAATTTAAAAATTAAAAAAAGACAATGAAACAACAAAAAACTCACCCCAAACCAAAACCCTGCATCAAAACAAAGACAGAAAACTTCAAATGCTCTTAATATAACAGCTTTCTGTTTTTCAAGGTAGAAACAGGCCTAATTTTCTAGTAATGTTTCACCAAGGTCAAGAAAGAAGCAGTCCTTCATTAATTTAGGTAATAGTCTAAAATAGAAATGATAGCAAATTTAGTTTTCTCATATTGTGGTTTTTATTTACTTTTAGATGGCAACTAATTTTATTTTTCTCTTTTTGAGAACATTGTGAAAAGTTTTTTTATTTTATTAATAAACTGTGGTAGTTGAAAATTGTCCCACAAATTTCCTGCCTTTGTGGAGTTACAATTCAAGTTCTGTAAAGTCCACCTTGACTTTTTCTTCTCCTGAGTTTCTCTATATAAACTTTTCCCCACTATTTTAACATTTCTTTTTGTAGTGTGCTATTTTATAATAAAAGTTTATTATTCCTGTAGGATCTTACTATTAATGTATCTGAGTCTCAAAGCTTTCTCACTTCAGTTTTATTTCTAGACATGTATAAAGTGTAAGTAATGTTAGTAATCCTGGGCCTCATCTTGATCCATTAGGAAATCCTGTTGTGCTATTTAGCTTTTTCTTCACTATAACAGATACCTGAGATGAGCAGTCTATGAAGAGAAGAAGCAAATTTTATTCATGGTTTCAGAGGTTTCTGTCCATGGTCCCTTGTCTCTGTTGGTTCTGGGCCTCCTGTGGGAGCTTGTGGCAGAACAATCTTATTTGAAAGTAGACAGGAAGCAAAGGGAAAGCCAGGCAGTGGATTAGCCCTGAAGTTCTCCCAAGGGCATGCCTCCCACTGACCTAAAACGTCCCATTAAGCTCCTCCTCTTAGAGGTTCCACTACCTTCTAATAGTGTCAAGCTAAGAACCAAGCGTTTTAACCTGGGTCTTTAGGAGGGGATATTCTAGACGCAAACTGTAGCCTTGAGGTTCTCTCTCTAACCTAAAGTTCTGTCTCAGCTTTGGTGAAGTGTGACTGTAGGATCTGTCTTGCTTCACACGCCTTTAATCCCAGCACTTGGGGGGCAGAGGCAGGAGGATCTTTGTGAGTCGAGACCAGCCTGGTCTACATAGTGAGTTCCAGGACAGCTGGGGCTACACAGAGACCCTGTCTCAAAAAGAAAAAAAAAGAGAAGAGGCTATGTAGATTATAGGATCATGTCAAATATTAGATATAATAAATATAAATATCTAGTGAGTAGAGATTTCTTCTGTTACAGTTTTTGTTTTGGAACCTAGACCGTGTAATGTAAGTGGATTTCTCAACTTCCTATGCCTGTATATCCTTTAGTGTTGCCTATTCATGAACATCTTGAGAGAACAATTCCTTCTTATAAGATACATTTCTCAGTGTTGTTATTACCAGGTTGTTCCCACTGGAAAATGATGAGCTGCTGTCTCATCCCTAGCGTTTCTTTTACAGTGTGTCTCATTCGTGACTGTTCCATTAGCAGTGTGCTTCTTTGAAACTCCTGGTTAGATGCCACCTGGTCTTCGTAGTTCATCTGCTTCTAATTTGTTAATTAGATATAAAGAACTCAGTATATTCACTACAATTTGAATTTAATAGCTTTGATTAGTCCTCTTAAAAAGGCAGATTGGTAATACAATTCAGTAGGCTTTTTATTCAGTTTTCAGTTTTGATGGCTGCTTTGGATGTAGGTTTTTTTCACTATGCATGCATTTTATTCATGAATGTTTGAGTCTTTTACTTCCATCTGACACCATGTGTTTGAGGTTGCATTTTATGAATGTAAAACTATGCACACAATTACTAAATGATTTAGGTTTTATTCTGCCTCATGTGTTCTTAAAAATACCAGCTGTTGCTTAGTTGAAAATATAATTTAATTTGACTGACACATGAGTTTCATAGTTTCTGAACATGAATATATTTTCCTTGTTTGTATCCATTAAGCTTTTTGGTCCATATGTTAATGTTCCCTTCATTTCATTTCTTTATATAAAAAAATCAATAAAAGCAACAACAAAAACCTTGTTAAAAATGTTAAATTTTTGAAAACATGCTTTTATTTTTTCAGAGTTCACACTTAAGCCCGCAAAGTTCTTTCTCATTTTATTGGTTAAAGTTTTATATATATAGGCGTTTTATTATTTTGTTAGCAGAAACAGCTTTGATAGTAATTTAATTTTGTATTTTATTTATGGAAACAGTTATATGTTGGACATATAAAATAGTTCTCAGTTGCTTGATACAGTTTTAAGAACTTGATGGCTATGTTTAGTTGCACACATTTGGTCTTTTTGAGACAGGGTCTTCTTGTAGCCCCAGCTGGCCTGGAACTCACTAGGTAGACCAGATTGGCCTTGAACTCACAGAGATCTGCCTGCCTCCGCCTCCTAGGTGCTGGGATTAAAGGCGTGTGCCCCCATACCCAGAACTATCATTTAAAATTTTTATGTGTATGAGTATATTGCCTGCATGTATGTAAGTGAATCTGTGTTGTGCAGTCCCCACAAAGGTCAGAAGAAGGCATCAAATTCCCTGGAACCGGAGTTATAGATGGTTGTTAGCTGCCATGTGGGTGCTGGGAACTGATCCTGGGTCCTCTCTAAGAGCAGTCAGTGCTCTTAACCACTGAGACTTATCTCTGGCTCCAGTAAACAAATATTTTATTCACTTATTTATTACATTCAATTGCTATTTAATGATGTCCTACTCCATGTCAGGCTATTTCATAGGTACTGCAGAGGCCATAAATATGAATGAACTATTAACTTCCTAAAACATATCTACTACAAATTCATTCTTTTTTAGCAAATGGGTAAAATTATTCTGACCTATCCACACTTGCATTGTTGGGAAGTTTAGAAAAGTCGGGTATGTTAGAGATTTCACTCTGTACAGAACCAGTTTGCCATGGCCTCATTTTATTTACCTCAGTTTTCAGATTCAGACGATGAATAATTGAACATTGCTTTTACTCCTAGGTAATTGACCTTGGGCTTTCTTTAATTATAGTGCTGCTAACTAAAGTAAAACTAATTTTAGACCTGGAAATTCTAGAAGAATTTAAAAAAATTAATTGGCCTGCTTCTAGAAAACAGTGATCATAGAGTGATATATTTCAGGAGCATCTTACTGTATTAAGTATTCAGTATATAAAAATTTGTTTATAGTTTTCTTATGCAATTTATGTGTTTTAAAACATTCAAAATTTTAAATGTGGGGCTGGAGATATGGCTTAGAGGTTAAGAACACTGGCTGTTTTTGCAGAGGATCTGGGTTTGGTTCCCAGTACCCACATGGTGATTAACAACGATATGTAACTCTAGTTCCAGGGAATCTGATGCCTCTTCTGGCCTCTGTGGGCATTGCATGCCAGGGTGTACTTATTTTTATGTAGGCAAAACACTGATACATGTAAAATAATAAATTTTGTAAATTAAAAAATATTAAATGTTTTTAATATGCAAAGATATATATCATTTGACACACATATACACACATATATATATATTTTTTCTGCTGCTTAATAGCATGTTTAGAGACTAAGAATCTTTCATGCAAGAAAATTTTGCCATATGCTTAGCAATATCCTTGTGGTAAGAAAATTTTGTCACATATTTAGGTATATACTTATAGTAGGACAGTTACTGTTTCAGGGCTACCTTTTGAAAACATTACTATAGTAAGTAACTTCTGACAAAATTATTTCTAATTTTTCCAAAATTTAACAAGGAACTTTAATTTTTGGTCATGCTGATAATAAGAAATTGCTTTTATACAACACATTTTTATGTGTGAGACATGGTACTGAAATTTAAAAAATATTCTACACATGTGAAAAACATTACCATTATCATTTAAAAGTTTAGGAAATTAAGGATTAAAATAGAAAGTAGGCTACGGCTTAGAAAATAAAGTGCTTGTCCTACAAGCCTGAAGACTGATTCTCAGCATTCAAGTGCATGTCAGATATGTGTTGCAGCCTTTCTGTAATTCTAGCACAGGGGAAGAGGAGATGAGATCCCCAGGGCAAGCTAAGTCTGAGCTCTGGATTTAGCAAGAAACCCTGCTTTAGTAAATAAAACGGAAAGTGATCAAGGAAGACACCTGATGCCAACCTCTTGCCTCCATACCCACTCACAAACAGTACATATGTTCATACATGTGTACATCACACAAAAATACACAACATACACAGAGAGCAATTTGCTGGATTTTATCCAATTCATAAGCAGCAGAGATGGGATTTGAATTCCTGAGTGTTTACCAAGCCTGAGTGCACCAAGTTTCTATTTCAGAAGTAGACTCCCTCATTGCTTAATGCTCAACTGTCCCCTTGTCCTTCGTTTGCTTCTGATTTTACTCATTGCCATGACTGAAATCAAGAAATTATCTAAAGAACTCCTTAATGGTCTGTTGTACACATCTACCATGTTCTTGAACACCTGAGCTCTCTTCTTGTACATAATCTAGTTCTAGGTAACTAATTTGGACTTGCTGATACTCATTGAAGTTGAGGAGCATTATGACTGTCTTCCTCTTAATATGACTGTTTCTGATTGACAGGTTTTAAATGCACAGAGAGCAGGATACAAAGCAGCCATAGTTCACAATGTTGATTCTGATGACCTCATTAGCATGGGATCCAACGACAGTAAGTACAGGTATCACTTTTCTTCTCTCCTGTTTGACAGATCATTTGAAATTAAAAGTTAACAGAATTTTCTTTCATTTTCTGTTTAAACAGTAAAGTTTCTTTTCTATCAGATAATTCCTCTTACTCTTTTTGGGATAATTTTAATTCCTAATTGACAAGGTAAAACTGACTTTTCCTGAACAATTAAGACTTTCTTTTAAAAAAATATTTATTTTTATTTTATGTGTATGAATATACATTAGTGCATCCATATAGTACAATGCCTACAGAGTTCCAAGGAGGGCATCAGATCCCTTGAAACTGGAGATGGGACATTTGTTAGCCTCTGCGTGAGTGCTGGGAACCAAACCTGGGCCCTCTGGAAGAGCAGCTAGTGCTTTTAACTGCTGAGCCGTCGCTCTAGCCCCTCAGATATTTTCTTTCTTGACAAATAAGCTTTTTTTTTTTGTTGTTTGTTTGTTTGTTTTTTAACAATCTAAGGAAAGCGTTTTGCTATTGTCTAGCCTTACCTCTTAATGAGACAAAATTATATTTAAAATCTAGTGAGTTCCTTAATTTATTCAGATTTTAAATTATTTTAATCTATCCAGTTTACCTTTCATAATTGTAGAATCAACTGAGTACCTTCAGAGAAGTTCTAGCATTTCAGGAATACTTTGAAAACCACTGCATGGGAATTGTAGAACTTCCTAGATGAAGGGAGTTTAATTGTTAGATAAATTGATGTTGTCAGTACTGCAGATTGTTTCCTGATTAAATTTAATTTTAATTGATGCACGAAAACACAAATATACATATTAATGTGGTAACAATGTTTTAATGCATGTGTACGTTATGTAATAATCAGTTTGAACATATCTGTCTCTATCAATTGTCTTTATGGTAAAATATTTTTAAAAATTCTTTTGAGACAGGGTGTCACTATGTATCTCTGACTGGCCTGGAACTGGCTATGTAGATTAGTTTGGTCTTGCACTTATAGAGATCTGCCTGCTTTTGCCTCCCGAATTCTATAATTAAAGGTGTGTGCTAGCAGGCCTGGCTTCTTCTAGGGTTTGGAAATGCACAGGGCAGTGTTGTGTGTAGTGCACCAGAACATTCTGAGTGATGTCTTGGGGTCTGTTGCCCATTTCCAAATCAGGGTATTTAGGGTGCTACTGAAGCTTTGGAGTTCCTCACAGCACCAGATGTGTAGTTTTCAAGAATTTTCTCCCATGCTATAGACTGTCTCTTCAAGTCTGTTTGATGTTTCCTTTGTTATGCCAAAGGTACTGCAGATTTGGCACATTTTTTTTTTCCTCCTTTAAATTACCCCCCTTTAATTAAAAAGGAAAATCTCATTTGAAACATCCGAGTCTAGTAACATTTGTGATCTGTATATACTACTGGCAAAATGAAAAGTAGCCATACTCTGGTCTGAATTCTATTCTAAGCTCAAGCTTCTTACTAAAGTGAGGAGTTTTCTATATTGCTTTAGGTAGCATAACTCAATTGAAATTATTTCCAATAATTATAAATCAGTAGCTTCAAGTCAGAAGTCTCACAGTGTATCATGAAAGAATAAAACTTCTTACAAAGGATATATAAATTCTAAGTTTTAACTGTCAAATAAACTAAAATTTAAGGCCTGATGAGATTGTCCAGTGGGTAAAAGTGCTTGCCATACAACCTTGAATGACAGCCTTGAGTTCTATAAAATGCCAGATACACTGGCACACAACTGTAATCCCAGCACTCCTATAGCAAGTTGGGAGGCAGAGACAGGAGCATCAGTCAGAAGCTTATGGTCCAGCTAGTCTGGAGTACTTAGCATGGAAAAAGAAGAAACACCCTGTCTCAGTTAAGTGGAAGAGAACTGACTTCCAAAAGTTGTTCTCTGACCTTCATAGCACGCCACACGACACACACAATGAATCTTAAAACATATTTAACCTGCTATGTGTTTATAAAAATTATAAGATAGGTATATATTTATTGGCATGACAAGATATCTGAGGTATGTCAGAGTAGGATAAAAGCTTTCCTATTATATGGCAACACTGGAACAAAAATATTACTCATTTCATACAAAAATCATGTTTTAACAGCCCGTGGATAACTGTTTGGTCCTTGCTCTTCTTCAGGTTTCCATGGTGTGTCAGGGGCTTATGCATATGAGAATTAATGTTTATATTTGCATAAAACAGTATGAAACTGAAAAACTTCATCTTTTAATTTTGAAATTTGTCATTATACAGACTAAAAAGAAAGTCCCAAGTAGCTGCTGAAGTTGGGGGGAGGGGATGGTTTATAAAAGACAATGAAAGGGTTTTCAAAGATGGTGAAGCAGTCTGTATCTTAATTATGCTAATGTAATTGTATATATTTGTCAAAACTTATAGAACTGTTATTTAAATAAAGCATGTGTTTGGAGAGAAGATTGTAGTTATAGATGCTTTTTTCTTGTGCCTCATTTTCTAAATGCATAGTGTATATGCATTGATTTTTAAAATAGAGAAGTTAATCTTGAAAACTATAATAACAGACAAAAATTGAGCTTTCTCTATAGGCAAATCTGTTAAATTAACTCAGTTTAAAAGGTTGCTTTTTCCTTTTTTTTTACATTAAAAAGACTGCTTTGTATCCGTGGTGTTTTAATTATGTACTTGAGTAATGGGTAATTTTCACAAAATTCTTTTTTGGTGGCATTTGATTTTGGTTTTGAAAATGGATGTGTAAGGGTCAAATTTCTTGAGCTACCAGTCAGAATTCAAAGTTTTGCCGTAAATACAGGAGGAAGTAGAAATGTACTGAGCTTTCTTGTCTCATAGTTTTTATTAACTCTTCTTACATTTCACTTTGGAAAGCAGAGGTGTGTGCTCTTACATTTTAGACTGGTGTAAAGTTACCTTATATTATTTGCTTGTTTCCATCCTAGAAATGGGTATGTAAACCAATTTTTTTTTCCTCTTAGGAATTAAGCTATGTGTAGGAAGGAAAAGCTAAAATTGTGTCTTCTTCATTCTCTAATAAGCTAAAGGTTTATCTATAGATGAATAAGTCAAATGGATATATTAAAGATAAAAAATTATGTCACTACCCTATAGTACTGTTGAGAACTAAATGAAGTAATGTGTATATGAGAAATGCTACCTTTGTAAATGTTACTGTGTTTCTAAATCTGTTGAATGATGAGTATAAATACACAATTTTCAAAATCGGCCAATGGATAATTAAAGTTGTTTATAATTGTTTCCAGTTGGATTTGTGGCTGTTATAGAGAAAGTTATATCGATTATACCTGAAGTATGGGCCTTTTACAAGTATATTTATTGTTCTTTTATACAGTTGATGTGTTAAAGAAAATTGACATTCCATCTGTCTTTATTGGAGAATCATCAGCTAATTCCTTGAAAGATGAATTCACATATGAAAAAGGGTAAGTAATGAATATTAAAAGTAATCATGTATCTTAAAATTTTTTCATGTATTAATAGAATTATATGATGTTAGTTAAATCAACTTTATGTTTTATAAGGAACTATATTATGCTGATTAAGACATAATATATGAAATCTTTTTTTGCTGCAGAGAGTTGCAAATTTGACATTAATGTTGCTAAAAAGATAAAACTTCCCATTTTAATAGTTTCTTGTTAAGTTTATGACCAGGTATTTTATTGTTTGCTTTAATTACATCTGCTAATGAGATTTTTTTTTCTTTGTGTAGATGAAAGCTTATTTTGTATGGTGATTTAAAAAATCTGTGATTTAACAATATTCTATTCTAGCTGATGATACTTTTTCCATTGTAGATATGAATGGCTTAATCTCCTGGGTTTTTTGGGTTTCTGTTTTCTTCTAAGTGCTTTCTGTCATCTAAATGCACTGACAGTATATTTAACACCATGTTAAATAGTAGAGATAGTGGTTATCTTTGTCTTATTTCTCATTTTATGAGACAGTTTGCTTCAAAATAACATTCTGGTTGTTAATCATATTAAGACTCAGCTCTTATCCACTGCGCTGTTTTCTCAGCTACTTTCTAGTCTGTTTGTTTGTTTGTTTGGTCTTTTTGAGACAGGGTCTCCCCGTAGCCCCAGCTGGCCTGGAACTTGCTATGTAGACCAGGCTGGCCTCGAAATCACAGAAATCCACCTACCTCTGCCTCCTGAATGCTGGGACTAAAGGCGTGTACCACCATGCCCGGCTTCTAGTCTTTAAACTTGTTTTTTAATTGAACTTTTGCAAATTTCATTCAGTATGTTATGATTATATTTAGATCTCCTCCCCTATCTGCACCCTCTTACTACCTCCAGCCGAATTTCATTTACTCTTTGTATAAAGAGTAAAATGTATATATAAATAAAAATAAATAAATAAATAAATAAATAAATAAATAAATAAATAAATAAATATAAAGGCCAAATACCCTTCAATATGGGTTTATCCACTAGAGTCTGGTGAACCTGTCAAGAGCCTCACCCTTATCAAGACTCACTCTCCTACTCCCAGCAGCCATCAGTTGCCAATACTTCCTCAGGTCAGGTTAGGGTTTCTTAACCCACTTCCCCACATCTGTCTCGGATTTTGTCTGGCTTAAACTTAGGTGCATCTGTCCAGTCTTTTAGCTACTCTTAAAAATAATAGCATATTGAATTGGGAAGATGGTGCAGTGGGTAATGTGCTTGCAAGCATGAGGACCTGGAGTTAAGATCCTCAGCATCCGTATAAAAGCTGGGTATGCAGTAAACACTTATAGATGTACCTCTGGGGAGTCAGGAGCAGAGATGGCCAGATCCCTAGAGCTAACAGACAGCAAGTCCAAATAATTGGTGGGCACCTGGTTCATTGACTCTGTCTCAAAAAATAAGGTGTAGAGCAATAGAGGAGGAAAACACCCAACATCCACTTCTGGCCTCTTCACCACACACACACACACACACACACACACACACACACACACACACGCACACATTCAGGCAACAAAAAATAGTATATTTCATCATTTAGATAGGTTTGCTTAACCTATAAAGCCACTAGTTATGAACAAGGCCTATAATCTTTGCTTCCATTACTTCTTGGCCATATGACCTCCAATAACAGAGATGTATCACCTCTGGGCCCTAGCCTCTATCCCTTTTTAAAATGGAAATAATTATAGTGTATATATAGCATACGACATTGGTATCAAGATTACTAAACACATGAATAAACTTCCACTTGGTACACAGTAAATAATAAATGTTAAGATTCTTATGCTTACTCTTATGTACTATAGAAGGAGCTATGATATCTTTGACCACACATAATGTATAGCTGTACAAAAGTTTCTGTCACAAAAGTACCTAAATGGAATTTCTTGTTTAAGCATAGTTTTAAGTTTCAGTAAACAATTGTCATATTGCTCTCTTCAAAAGGTAATTATCAATATTTTTAATTATCTGCTAGTCTGATAAGAAAACACATTATTTATAATAGCATTTCTTTAGCCATAGCAAATTTTTATTTTTAATTTAGTGTCCTTTGAGTACTTTGGTATTTTAATGTTTTGACCTTTTTAAGTATTTTGTAACACTGTTAAAAAAGGGAAACAACTGGAGGACATGCAGCTTTTTTTCCTCTTTTCTCTCATTTTAAAAAATGATATTTAGGCGGCTGAGGAGATGCTGAGTGGTTAACTGGCTGCTTATTGGCTGCTTTTGAAGAGAACCCAGGTTTTGTTCCCACATGGTGGCTAACAACCGTCAAAACTCCAGTTCCAGGGGAACACCCTCTTGTGGTTTGTGTGGGCATTGTATGCACGTCATGTACATAGATACATGTAGGCAAAACACTCATATACATAAAATAAAAACGTGTGTGTGTGTGTGTGTGTCTGTCTGTATGTCTGTATGTCTCTCTGTCTGTGTGTGTGTCTGGGGAGTAGGGGCCAGGCATGCTCCATAATGCATGTTTGGGAGGTCAGAGGACGACCTAAGGGAGTCAGTTTTCTCCTTCCACTATGTGGGTCTTGGGGATTGAACTCAGGTTGGCAGGCTTGGCAACTTCTTTTACCCACTGAACCATCTTGCCAGCCTTCGGATACGAAACTTGTGCAAATTTTAGGTAGGGATGAAGATTGCTGCAGTGTTGCCTTTAAGAGGATATTCAGTCTTCATGGATTTTTCCATTTTGAAGGTGAGTTAGAAGAAAGAACCCTGAGGTCCTCTGTAATTCTGAGATCTCTATCTTCTGCTCATGGTTAAGAACTCTTTCATATGCTATTCCTACCATTGGCTGCCGTAACTTTATTAGAGATACTCAGTATACTGATGCTGATGAAATTAAACTGCTTTTGCGCTACCTCAGAATTTCCCAACAGGACAGAGTTGTATACCTACAGGAAAATAGGGTATACCACAGATTCGACAAAAATCTGAGCATTACTAGAGATATAAGAGTTGGTGAGAAAGAGGTGAGCTTTGTCTGAAAGGAACTCATTAGGTAGACAAGGCTGGCCTACTCACAAAACTCACAGATATCTTCCTGCCTCTCCTTCTCTACTGCTGGGATTAAAGGTGTGTGCCACCACACTTGGCTATTTTTGTGTTTGTTTTATGTGTATGAGTGTTTGCCTGCATGTATGTATGTATACCACACACATGGCCTGGTGTCTGAAGAGGCTAGAAGAAGGCGTCAGGTCCTGGAACTGTAGTTACAGGCAGTTGTGGTCACCATGTGGGTGCTAGGGAACCAAACCCAAATCGTCTGCAAGAGCAACAAGTGCTCTTAACCATCGAGCAATCCCTCTGCCCCGGCCTCTGAAGTTTTTATATCTAACGAAATAATAATAATTTGAAAGAAGTGAAGGTTCTCGTTGATACACTACAAGAGGCAGTACCATTATTACATAAGAAATGACATTTTTGTCTGATTTACTACATCCAGTAAATAATGTTCTCCAAGGGTTATTCTGAAAAAAATATGCAAAATAGGCTTAAAAATAATCTCTTAAACTATGTAAATCATATATTAGAAAGTGAGGTGTGCAGTGAATTTGATTGTAATGGCTACACCCCTAAATAACAACATTTAACATTAAAAACCATTTTTGTTTTTAGATAACATAATTTAAGTATTCTTACTTTTCTTTTCTTCTAGGGGCCACATTCTCTTAGTTCCAGAACTGAGTCTTCCTCTGGAATACTATTTAATTCCTTTCCTCATCATAGTGGGCATCTGCCTCATCCTGATAGTCATTTTTATGGTAGGTCAATTAATGCTTTAAGAATGTTCCTCTTAATTAGTTGTATGAACATATGTGGGTATGTGCATGTGAGTGCCTGAGGCATCAAAGCCCCCTGGAGCGGCAGTCACATGCAGTCGTGAGCCGCCTGACATGGGTGCTGGGAAATTAAAGCAGGTCTCCTGGAAGACTAGTCATGCATTAAGTCATCTTTCAGCCCCTAATTGACTTTTCATAATGATAAAGAATACTATGGGTAGATCTAAAAAAAAGCATTGAAAAACTGAGTGATAGACCTTTTACATGAAGGAGTACATATTGAATAAATCTATTTATATGAAGTTCTGAAAAGGTAAATACAGTGTTGTTGCTAAAATTCCTTCTGGGAGGTGCAAACAACATCCAGCCCCATCTTTCCTTGGTCCTTACAGCAAACTGAGGTCCAATTTCTCCAAACTGTGGTTTGGGAAACCAGGGAGTTTATTGGGCTTATAGAGCAGTGAGTGAGGGGTTACTTACAGGATTGTGGGTACTCCTACTCAAGGCATGGTTCATGACTTCCCAGCAGCTGTACAAAAACGGAGAGACTCCCTATGGGCTTCCTCTGTAGCCCCTCCCCTTGTGCAACTAGGCTGGCTGGTTGCTTGGGAAGTGTTGCTGACTCTCCAGCTTCTCCTTTCTCGGGGAATGTCAGCAGTCAGGTTTGTGATGATCCTAAGCTAGCTGGTGCAACCAAACTTGGGAAGAAGGCTGCTGTCTGTAGCTTGACATTTGGAGGACAGTCCTATGCTACAAGTGTGTAAGAAAAAAAAAAAATGCAAACAGCGATTGCCTTTGGGGAATCTGGGGATTGGTGATGGGTTATTGAAAGAATAGGAGGGACCTGTCCCGGGTTAAAAGTTATGTTCTGTAGAGGGATAGAAATATGGGTTGTACAAATGTGTAATAGTCATCTGAATCTACCAAATTGCATATTTGTTTTCAGCATTTCATCATGTATAAAGAATATCTCAAAAGAAAACTGCAAAAAATGATACTTTTTTTTTTAGTCTTTTTGGGACAGGGTCTCCCTGTACCCTAGTTGGCCTGGAACTTGCTATGTAGACCAGGCTGGCCTTGAACTTATAGAGATTCATCTGCCTTTACCTACTGAGTGCTGGATTAAAGGTGTGAGCCACCATGCCCAGCTATAAGTTCTTTTTTTTTTTTGGTAACATTTTATTATTTTTATGTGTATGAGTGTATTGTCTGCATGTGTGTAAGTGCACCCATGTTGTGCAGTGCCCGAGGAGGTCAGAAGAGGGCATCAGATCCCCTGGAGCTGGACTTACAGATGGTTGCTAGACACCAGGTGGATGCTGGGACTTGAACCCAGGTTCTTGGCAAGAGCCTAGTGCTCCTAGCCTCTGAGCCATTCCTCCACTCCACAATGATAATTTTTAAATGATGATACATGCTGTAGCATTTGGGGATATGTATACTGAATCTACAACTTTGTAATGTGTTCTTCAAAACTAAGGGGAAAAAAGATGTATTGATGAGTAGATAGAAGAATGGATATAGATGTAATATAGTGTAATAAAGTGTCAGATGTAGAATCTAGGTAGTGGATATATCGCTATTTATCAGTAAATTCTTCGAATTCAACTAGAAATGTATTTGGAAAAATTCACATTAAAATGTAAAGAAAGAATATTATGAGAGTTTGAGTTTAAGAGGCTGTCACATCATTTCTCTAGGGCAGTCATAACCAAAGTATGGTCACAGGACTCTTAGAGGGCCTATAAGATCAAACTTATTTTCATACTGATACTGAGCTAATATTTGCCCATGTCACTCAGTTTGGAAAGTAAAGGGATATTGATGGTATTGTGTGTACAGATCTATTAGTTACTGCGAGTATGAGTGGAAATGAAGAAGAAAAGCAGAGTAAGTTATGCCAGTGATTAGTACTGGGTTGACAGAGGAAGAAGAAAGAGAATCTGTAGGGACAGAAGGTGGGAGGTGAGGGAATTTTGGTTAAGAGTAGACTTGTAATGCAGAACATTCCCATCTTTGGAAGAGGGAGGAGATACACATACATAATTAATATACATAAAATATAAATTATATACATACATATACATGTGTATATGAAAGTGTAAGAAAAAAGAAAGTTAAAAAGGAGAAAAGGTGATAGAAGGAAAGAAGAGATCAGAACGATGTGGCTGCTAAACTGACACTGGGTATTAAATAAAGGAGGAGTTTTAAATAGGAGTGAGTTCAGATGCACAATATGGAAAGTAACTGGCCTGATTCCTGGATTTAGTCTTGAATTCAGTCTTGGCATTTCTTTCCTGGTGCCTAGAACCCTGTCTCACCCCTGGGAGCTCCTCTACAGTGGCCCCTCCCCTTCTTAGCTATGTGTGTTCCTTTGTGTGACTGGATTACAGATGCTGATCTAGTCTGAGGCAATACTGCACAGTCTCAGAGGCTAGTCACATCTTTGCATTCCTTTGGGACAGCTCCTGAATGCTCACCCACCCCTGAGCAGTGCTTCCAAGAGCCCCATGTGCTGCTTGTAGTCTGTGTGAACTTTCCCCTGTAGATTTTGGTTCCCTCCCCATTTCTAGCTCATTGAATGCTGCATGAATCTGTTTCAGAGTCTCTTCATAATCCAAGTGTCAATGCATACTTCTATCACACTTGCTCTGTGCTTGTCAGGAGTGTGGTTTGGGCTGCCAAGCTGCTGATGCAGTAGGGTTCTTTTTAAATGGTGCCTCTCTTCTGCTCTGTTGGTTGCCAGTTGCTGAGTACCCAGCAGTGAGGAGAGAGAGTTTTCCCTGGCATCTTCTCCTAATACTGCTGGGAAATACTGTGTTTTGTTAGTTAGGGAAATTGGTCTGTAATTATGTTGTTCTTGTATCTTTAATCAGTTTTACTGTTAGGATAATACAGGGCTTCACAAAATGAGCTTATTAATATTTTGTGGAACAGTTTAAAGGGTGTTGCTGTTAGCTTTTCCTTAAGTTTTGGTAGAATTTGGTAGTGAATCTCTCTAGAGCTAGACTTTTCGTGTAGTCTCTTATTTTCAGCTTAAATTTTATTGTTTATATGGATCCTATTGTTATGTATATCTTCTCAATTCAGTTCTGGTATGTCAGTTGTGTCTACGAATTTATGCATTTTCTCTAGGTTTTCCAGTTTTTTAGAATATTAAGTATTCAAAGTATTCCCTAATTTCCCCCTGGATTTCATTGGAACCTGTAGTAAATCCTTATTTTTATTGCTAATTTTGTTCATTTGAGTCTTTCATTTTATTTTTTAATTTTATTTGTGTGTATAATGTATGTCTCCGTGTTTGTGTGTGTGCGCATGAATGTTATAGATGCCAGAGGTCAGTATCAGAGTCTTCCTTGATGAAGCCCCTCTTGTTTTTTGAGTCAAGGTTTCTGCTTGAATCTGGAGCTCACCAATTTGGCTAGGCTGCTGGCACCTGGCTTTTTGCATAGGTACTGGGATTCAAACTCATCTATTCTTGTGGGGCAAATACTTTACCAACTGATTGTCTCCTAAGCCCCTTCTTTCTCTTTTTCTAGTTTAGCTAGGGGGTTGTCAGTTTTGTTTATCTTTCCAAGGAATCAGCTTTTTTTTTTTAATATTTATTTATTTATTTTTATTTTGTGTATGAGTGTATTGCCCGCATGGATGTGAGTGCATCCGTGTTGTGCAATGCCTCGGAGGTCAGAAGAGAGCTTCGGATTCTCCTGGAACTGGAGTTAAGGACAGTTTGTAGCTGCCATGTGGGTGCTGGGTATCGAACCCAGATCTTCTGCAAGAGCAGTCAGTGCTCTCAACCGCTGAGCCATCTCTCCAGCCCCTGGAATCAGCTTTTTAAAAATTGATTCCATGAATTGTTCTTTTAGTCTCCATTATTTCTTACCAGATCTTTACTATTTTTGCTGCTTATTGTTTGGGGGTTTGGTTTCTTGTTTTTCTCAGACCTTATGGGACATTATTGGGTTATTTGTTTACAATCTCTGATTTTAAAAATTCATTTATTATTATTATTATTAGTGTATATGTGTCGGTTGGTTGGTTTTCTGGTAGGTTGGATTACTATTTCATAGTTTTGACATTTTAACTATCTCTTAGAGAAGTTTTTCAGTCATGTCTAACTGGGATTCTAAATGCTTTTGTTTCGAAGTCCATTCTTTATAGATTTAGGGAATTTTCTATAATCTTACTGACCATATTTTCTGTGAGTCTTTTTCTTTTTGTTGTTGTTGTTGTTGTTGCAGTTCCTTCTTCCTTGTGAATTCTTAGGTTTGGTCTCTTGGTTGTATCCTGGATGTCTTGAACATTGTTATCATCCTCATTTTTTTCCTGTCTTGATGTTTGAATGTTTCTTCAGTCTTGTCCTCTGTCCCTTACATGTGTTCTTTTGCTTGTACAGGTTTGTTAGTGGTTCTTTCCTACTGTTTTTCTTTTTCTTAAAAAGAAAATTCTAACATGTCTGTTGATATTTTTTTCTTCTCACTAAAAAAATATTTTTATTGATTCAAAAACTATACAATGCATTTTGATCATATTCAGGCCTTTCCCCCGCCTCTATGTTTACCCCCGACTTCACGTCCTCTATTACCACTTGTCTTTTCATTTCTTTTTTAAAGCCTATTGAGTCTGATCTGTGTTTCCCAAATGCTCCTGAGTGTAGACCCAAGCTACCAGGCGTCATACTAGTAAGGAAAACTGACTCTCCCTCTCCCAGTATCTATGAGTTTCCAACAGACCCTCAGCTAAGGCTGGGTTTTTGTCTGGTTTGTGTTTGTACAGGTTTTGTGTATGCTCTCATAAGCACTTGTGAGTTCGTATGTGCAGTTCTCCTGTGTTGTCCAGACAACAGCTTCCTTGTATTCATCTACTACCTCTGGCTCTTAGAATCTTTTCACCCCCTCTTCCACGATAATCCCTGAGACTTGGGAGGAGAGAGTGCGATATAGGTGTCCCACTTAGGGCTCAGTGCTCTACAGTCTTCTATTCTCTGCATGTTGACCATGGAGAGACCCATGTGGGTCTCTGTGTTAATTGCCATCTGCTGCAAGAAGCTTCTCTGAGAATTGAGAGGTGTACTAATCTGTGGGTAAAACAATAAGTTGTTATGAGTCAGTTTAATGCTATGTTCAATTAGCAGAATAATAGTAGGTTTTCCTATTAATAGTAGGTTTCCTCTTATGGCCTTTGACCTATCTAGCCACAGGTTCTTGGCCCTGATAACAGTGTGAGGTATGGATTTCATTTCGTGAAGTGGTTCTTTAAACAGTCCTTATTGGTTAGTCCCATAACATTTGTGCACTATTGCATCAGTAGCCATAGTTTACCGAGCCACTTACAGGGTTCACACCTCGGAAGACTGATGATTACCTTTCTCGGCCAGTAGCATGCATGGCACCTTCTAGTGCTCTGAAAGCTAGCCAGGTGTTCTAGTTTGCGTTCAGTTGCTGTGACAAAAAACTGACCAAAACCAACTTGGGGAAGAAAGGGTTTATTTGGCTTACAAGCACAGTCCATCATCAAGGGAAGCCAAGGCAGGAACTCAGGGCAGGAGCCTGGCGCATAGACCATAGAGGAAAGCTGCTTACTGGCTTGCTCCCCTGGCCTGTGCTCAGCCTGCTTTCTTAAACAATACAGCACAATATTGCCCCAGAGTGGCACTGCCTACAATGTTCTGGGCCCTCCCACATCACTCAGCAGTCAAGAAAATGCCCCATTGGCATGGCCACAGGCCAGTCTAATGGAAGCGATTTTCCAATTGTGGCTCCCTCAACCCAAGTGTGTCGTTTACATCAAAAGCTAGCTAACACAGCAGTCAAGATGTTTCGAGGTCAGTACCAGCTTGATCTCTCCTTGTTTATTTTGACTCAGGTATGTAGTATCTTCATCAATAGGGCCTTACTGTCAAGTTCTGGCAGGTGCCTAAGTGCAGTGGGTAACAGCCAGTAATGTTTGAAGGCTGTGCAATCTCCTTGGTCAGCAAACCCAAAGAGGGAGTCCATTCCTGGCATTGTGTTTTTCACTTGCTAGCCTATGGTGTCTAGTAGGGCCACTGAACCCTTGTTATAGGTAACTACATTTAAACTCTTTCTATATTTTGTATGTATATATAAAAAGAAGCATCTACAGAAGTTTCAATATGACTTTTAGTTTTAATATTTTTTGATTTATTTGTTTTTATTTTATGTGTATGAGTGTTATGCCTACATGTGTGCAAGTGCACCCATGTTGTGCATTGCCCTCGGAGAAAAAAAGAGGGCACCAGATCCCCTGGAACTGGGGTTTTGAATGGTTGCTAGCCTCCACGTGGGTGCTGGCAGTCAAACCCAGGTCTTCTGCAAGAGTAGCCAGTGCTCTTAACCACTGAACCGTGACTCCAGCCCCTCAATATGACTTTTCAAAAGTCCTTTTGTGTTAGTTATTCCTCCTCTTACTCCCTCATCTGCACTCCCATTCCCCATCCCATTATTCATGAGAGGGGAGATAGAATGTATTGATATAAATGGAGTTGGTTATTTTACCTTCTTCCTCCACCTACTGACTCAAGGCCTTATTTTTCATGTTATTTGGAGTGTAGATGGTGAAGAGGCTTCATCAGAAACTTGTTACTTGTGGTGACTGGCTCTGTGATTTACAGATTTCCTAGATTTTCTAAAACAATACTAAGCAACAGAACAATATTTTGAGCCACATTTTATTATTTTCAATCTTCTGATAGCCAGATTCAAAAAGTTAAAAAGAGACAAGTCAGATTAATTTGAATACTATGTTTATTTAAATGTAAAATGCATTTCAACCTTCAATTCACATAAAGAATTCTATTTTTACATTCTTTCAGTACTAAGTCTACAACTGGGAATATGTTTTATACTTAGAACACATCTGCATTTGGACTACCTGTGCTTAAAGTGCTTGTTAGTGACATGTGCCTTATTGGATAGCAGAGCCCTAGTGTTTAAAATTTTGTGTCTGGTTTAACTATAAATTCCTAAGCCTTTGAATTTGTGTATTGCTCCCATAGCTTCATTATATTGTAGGTGAAATGTCATTTTTACCATTCTGTATTACTTGGTACATGGATTTTACTTTCTTTAATATGTTTATGGCATATCTAGATCCCTTTTTAAAATAAAACTCAAGGTGTCAGTTTTAATTGTGTCTGGTAAATAGCATAAAGTTAGATTTTTTTCCCTATTACATCTTAAAAACTGATGAACTTAATCACTTACACTTACTTGGGTCACACATATTTGGATTAATTTCAGTATTCAGTTCTATGTAAATTTGGATTATATAACTTTTATTCTATCTTTTCCCACTGCTGTTCTTTATTTTCAAAGCCAAGGAATGAAGCTAAGACCTGATATCTGCTAGGCAGTCACTCTGCCACTGAGTTGGAGTCTTAGCTCCACAGCTTGTGTTTTTATTACATTTTATTTTACATGTGTGAGTGTTATGTGTGCATGAAGTGCACCACATGAATGCGATGGCCACAGAGGCCAGAAGAAAGCGACTGGGTCCCCTGGAACTGGAGTTACTGACCTTTGTGAGCTGCCATGTGGGTGCTGGGAACTGAACCTGGGTCCTCTGCAAGAGCAGCTGGTGCCCTTTACCACTGAGCCAACCCTCCAGTCTCGTTTCTATTTTTTTAATAATTCCCCCCCAAAATTTTATTTTTTATAAACCTAAAAGTATTTATTATTGACATAAAATAAGCTACACATTTTTAAATTGTGCATTTTTAGTAAGTTTTAGTATATATAATTTTACATATATGCATTCAAACGTGGATATAAAAATATCACCACATTCAAGATAATGAATGTCTGTCACCCCAGAATCTCATCCCTTCTAATTTCTGTTTCATGTCCCTCCTCCCCTCATCCTCAGATTACCACAGGTCTGATTTTATTCACTACAGTTTGTGTTTTCTGCAGCTTTATATAAATGAAATTATGAAGTACAAACTCTTGTGTGTGTATTGTCTTTCAGCATATTTTGAGATTCATGTAAGTTATTGAGTGTACTGAGTATTCCTTTTATTACTGAATTTTTTTTCCATATTATTGTACCAGTTTGCTTTTGATGGACATTTGGGTTGATTCTAGTTTTTAGTTAGTTTATCTGTAAGCTGTTGGGTCACATGGTAAGTGTTTAAATTTATAAGAACTAATATGTGTATGCTTGAAATTTTATTAATTTGCAATGTAATCTCAACTTCCCGCTCTTCTTTTTAAAGATTAAAAAAATTTTTTTTATGTGTATGTCAGTGCTTGCATGTGTGTATGTGCATCACATGTATGCCTGATGCCTATGGAGGCCAGAATCGGGCATTGAATCCCCTGGCACTAGAGTTATAGTTGTGAGCTGCCATGTGGGTACTGGGACCTGAACCCAGGTCTTTCTGCAAGAGCAGCAAGTACTCTTAACTGCTGAGCCATATCCTTATCCCCATCTTCCCACTCTTTTTGACCCATTAAAGTCTTTGTAATCTGTAGTCTATTTGTATTTTTGCAAACAATAGTTATTTATAATATCTCTGTCAGTAAATTAAAGTGTAGGCTGGTGAGATGGCTCAAAGAGTAGGGGCACTTATACCAAGCCTGATGACCTGAGTTCAGACCCTGGGATCCACACGACGGAAGGAGAGAATCCACTCCTCCAAATTGTTGTCTGACCTCCACATGCCACTGTGGCATGTACGCGTGCGTGTGCACACACACACACACACACACACAAATAATAAATAAATGTAATACGTTTTTTAAAAAGATAGAGTCAAAACATTCAAAGGATAATGTAGAAGTTAACTAATCACTATTTTTGGTTTTTTTTTTTTTTTTGATTTTTTTGAGACAGGGCCTCCCTGTAGCCCCGGCTGTCCTGGAACTTACAATGAGCCCAGGCTGGCCTGGACCTCACAGAGATCCGCCTGCCTCTGCCTCCCAAGTGCTGGGATTAAAGGCATGCGCCACCATGCCCAGCCAACTAATCACTTTTAACTTAATGTTTTATTTAATAATATTGTGATTGTGATTTAAATAAATTGGTTGGCAGCAGCTATCCAGAAACTTCACAAAACATATTTCATGCCCATTGTCTTTTTGTATACTTAATATCTGACTTTTTTTTTTCCTGTCTTTAGATCACAAAATTTATCCAGGATAGACATAGAGCTAGAAGAAACAGACTTCGTAAAGATCAACTTAAAAAACTCCCTGTACACAAATTCAAGAAAGGTAAGTATTTTTGTTTTCTAAATAATGATATTTACTGTATTTCAGAACATATGAGTATACTTAATTCTACTTTCTGAGTCTCTGCTATACACTCTGCCTAGCACTAAATAGGCAGTTACAATGAATGTTTTTGAGGTGTTTTATTATCACTGACTCAGCAACTCTATAGACAATGTGAAAGAATAAATTACCTCCTTGTACCAAGGCAGTCTGCTCTCACTGACTTTCCTCCCATGCTCCCCCACTATGCACCAATACCAAGTATTGTAGTAACTACAGACTAGCATTTGGAGTTTCTTTTTTTTTTTTTTTTTGAGACAGAATCTCCCTGTGTGGCCCCAGCTGGCCTGGAATTCGCTATATAGATCAGGCTGGTCTCAATTTCAGAGAGTCTGCCTCCTTCTCTGCCTCCTGAGTGCTGGGATTAAAGGTGTGCACCACCATGTCCAGCCTAGGAATCACTTTTTAAGGTTCCATTTTGTGTATTTAATTTTGTGTTTCTGAAACCCTAGTTGTAAAAAAAATTGCTTAAAAAAATATGGTGGGGCTGGAAAGATGCCTTAGCAGTTAAGAACACTGGCTGATCTTCCAGAGGATCCAGGTTTAATTCCCAGCACCCACATGGTGGCTAACAACTGTTTGTAACTCCAGTTCTAGGGAATCTGACACCCTCTTCCAACCTCTGCAGACTTTGTACAACATGGGTCCACTTAGAAAAATGATGTTCCTGGGTACAGTAGTACACACCTTTAATCCCCAGCACTCAGGAGGCAGAGGCAGGCTTAAATCTGTCAGATGGAGGCCAGCCTAGTCAACACAGTGAGTTCCAGACCAGCTGGGACTACAGGGAGACCTTGTCTCAAAAAATGATGATGATGTTAAAGGCCAGCAAGATGGCTCAGTGGGTAAAGGTGCTTGCTACCAAGCTTGATAACCTGAGTTCAGTCTCTGGAATCCACATGATGGAAAGAAAAAATCAACTCCACACTCTACCTTTGCACTCTAACAAGTGTTTTAAAAAAAAAAAACAGGAGCTGTTGAGACTTAAAAGGGCATGCAAATTGGCTTTTACTCTGAGTAGGCACTGTAGGATTTTAAACAGGAAAAGTGGCATCTAAATTAAATATTAAGATCTTTTGGGAGCTGGAGAGATGACTCAGCAGTTAAGATCACTGGCTGCTTTTGCAGAGGACCCAGGTTCAGTTCCTAGCACCTTCTTGGTGGGTAACAATTGTTCCAGTTCTGGGGATCTAATGCCCTCTTTTGGCCTCCATGGGCATTGCATGACACAGTTTTGCACCTACATACAAGCCTGCTAAGAATAGGCTGTAGAGAGTTAAAGGTTCAAGCAAAGAGACCAGGAAGTAAGTTACTGGAGTGATATAAATGTGCTTGGATCAACATTAGGGAGGTGAAGAAATCTTCTAATTCTAGATACATCTGGAAAATTAAATACAATGGAATTATTGATGGACTAGCTGTAGGGAAAGGAAACAAGGGTTACTGCATGTTTTGGGTTTGACTAAAAGGAAGAACAGACCGTTTCTTGACGATCCTAAAGTAAAACAAGGCTTGTTAGTGTGTGCTGGGTCCGGTTTGGGAGGAGTATCCCACCCACTCTGACTTTGCATGTTTCATCTGTCCTTTGTTTGTTTAGCTTGTGACCTGGCTTTACACAAGATTAAAGTGCTTGATTGTTATGGTCCTGTTACTCCTTGTTTGTTTTTGTAATTATTTATTTAATAACCACATACTTAGAAGAAGCATTTCATTACAACAGCATTGACATATTCAATAACAATTTCCAGGGCTAAGATGCATCTCTTTCAAAATTGGCTGTAAATTTTTAGGTTTACAGTTGAATTATTACAGTTATACAATATTGTACTCAGTATAAACCCTATAAGACATAAAATTAAATGAGGTTTTAACCTTTAAAAAAGATCTCCATTTTATTATTAAAATAAACAGTTTCATACAGAAAAATTCATTTTTAATGCAATTGACACCAAGATGTTTGCACATGCGTTTCTGGTCTCTATTTATCTGATTATTACTAGTCACAGTCAGTTACTTTATGAGCTCCTTGGTATCTGAGCATGGATATAAAGTTGTCAGGTAGATTGCAATGGTAATGTTTTTCACCTCTACTAATTATTAAGGAGCAAATTTGTATGCATTGAAGAATGATTTAAAAAAATTTTTTTAATTTAATAACCACATGATTAGAAGAAGCATTTCATTACAGCTTTAACATATTCAATAACACCCTCCAGAGCAAGGATACATCTCTTTCAAAAGTGGCTGTAATTGTTTAGGTTCACAGTTGAATTAATACAGTTACAGTATTGAACTTAGTATAAAACCTGTAAGATATAAAATTGAATGAGTTTTTAACCTTTAAAAAACCACCATTTAACCTTTAAAAAGATCACCATTTCATTTTAAAATATACTGTTTCTTACAGAAAAACTCATTGTTTTTGCTACTAACATTGAGATGTTGGTGCATGCATCTCTAATCTGTATGTATCTGATTACCACTTCTACTAATTAACATGACATAAATTTTTATGCTTCTTCCTCAAATATAATATATTTTTAAAAATTTGATTTTTTTTTTTTGGCGTGTGTATATCACACAAAACATCCCAAACCATCTTAATCAACTATATACCCACTTCCCAGATGGTACCGTCCCATAGCCTCCCTCCCCCAACTAGAGCCCCTATACTCTGATATCCCTCCTACTGTCTGCTGTGTTGTCAGCACCCCTAGCCCTTTCCCACTACTTGCCCTTCTGGTGAATCTTGTCAGCCTATCTAGAGGTCTTTGTTTTAGGAGGGTCAGCTGTTCATGGTCTAGCAGCAATCAGCTGTCAGTATTCCTTTAGAGAAGATTGGGGTCTGCTGTTCAATTTGCCAGTTCTATGCTGGGTTACTATCTGGGAGACCCTTTAGCCACCCTGGCCAACAACTCAAAAGAAGGTATCTCCTATCATTGTTGCTTGTTACGTAGCCTTTAGCTATACTTATGGACTCTTAAAAAAAAA